CAGATTGAACCGCCTGACATAGGACCTTAGTCCCTCCTTGTCTCCCTGCTGAATAACCCTCAGATCATGACTTGTCTTTTTAGCAAGGATGTTCATGGAGAAGTTGGACGCGAACAGGTATGCTAGCGTCTTGAAATTGTTGATGCATCCGGCAGGCAGGTTGCCAAACCATCGTTGGGTTATGCCCTTCAATGTTGCCGGGAAGCATCAGCACCAGGCGGCATCATCCAACCCCTGTAGGTACATGAGGTTGGTGTACGCCATTAGGTGGTCTTCCGGGTTGGTGGTACCGTCATAGGTACCAACCAACACAATCTTAACCTTGGTCGGCTGAGCCGCCTCGGTTATCTCCCTAGAGAACGCCGATGGCTGTTCACCAAGGTTTAGCGGCCGGAGCTGCTTGTCCATGGGCTGGACCTACTGTGCCGCCTGACCCCCAAAGAGGGTCGGCTGCATGTATGGTGATCCATACGGCATGTATGGCTGTTGGGGCACATACGGAGCCGGCTGGATAATCTGAAGGCTAGTACGTGCGGACGTGCCGCGTGACTAACTCTCTCGGTTTGTTTTCGAATACTTCATTGAAGTATTACAGAAACTATCTAGGTAAGTCGACGTTGAGGCCGACTCAGACATTTGTTGACTTCTCTTCTCCTAGATGAACATCCGGGCGTCTGAGTAAGTCTTTTTTTACCCATCCGGCTGAACTTGCCGGATGGCCTTCCTTTGCTCTAATTTAGGGAAACGAAGTCTGGATAGGTCGATCAGGGGCCCATCCGCCCCCTTTGGTTTAGGGTGAAGGGTTGACACCCGATCTTTGATATGCTTCTTCCCAGAGGGAGAAGGCTTCTTGGCCGACTGACCCTTGTTGGAGCCAGTTGACTTCTTTATTATGTCCCTGATCTCCCCCTTGAAACTCGTCATGAATTTCATGAGTTTGTCTCTGGTGACGGGGGCTGAACCCTCTGCCGACTGGGATTGCCCAGCCGACTTGCCGATTGGGCTGCTTGGACCAGCTTTGTCTTCGCCTCGTTCTCTTGTTTCTTTGGAACGGGTGCGTCTAGTTCGGAATGACCCGTCTGGGGCCACGTAGGTGTCGATCTCATAATCTTCGCCACTATCTTGGTTCGTGTAGAACTCAGTCTCGGCCATAGGCCGCTTGCCCTCACCAGGCAGTACAGGGTCGGATGCCATCTCGGAAGTACTCTCCCCACAGACGGCGCCAAATGTTTCGGGGTTTTTGGAGTCCCTCGGGAGAGTTACAATTCCGAGAATGCGCGTCGACCGTTTGTACCTATAAAACCACAAAACTCTGGTTAGGTGGAGTTCCACCTCCGACGATCAAGTTAAAACGTTTCCGGATGTATAAATGTGCGAAAAGTAAAGGTTTTTTCTCTCTGATTCAGAGAGAATTCTGCAATTAATATTGCTAATCGGTTTTTGTGTTTGTATTTTATGTGTGTGTAATAAATGAGGATTTTCCTCTATTTATAGTGGAAGGGGATCAGTTCGCCTTTTAGGGTTAAGTGTCACGTGTCAGCAGAGGATTGGATCCCCTTGGGCCTCTCTGAGGCTGACACGCGTCAGCATGCTATTGGGCCACGTGGTGCAGGGTAATTTTATCTTAAACAACTACCATTACCATCCTTAAATAACCTAGTATGTCTCCTTTATCCACACCATGTAATACATTCATTCAACACACAATATATTACATTTTGGCATTTACTTGTAGGAGTCGTTCATTATTAATTTATATCAGTTAGTATGTAAGTTAACTAAGTTGGTATATAAATTCCATGGGTTTGGTGTTAGGAGCCATTAAGTTTGTATATGGAGAAGTCATTGGACGACCTACACTTGAGAAGTGTCGTGCATTGTCATAAATTGATTTGGCAAAGAAATCAGTATTGACCATAATTTATTTTTTACACAAATTTTTGTATAAACTTTCACCAAACCACTATCCCTAATAAATAATTTACCTCAAGGATAGTAAAGAAAACAAAAATAAGATCTTCAATATCTTCTTTTTTCAGACTAAGTTAATACATCTTGGAGCTCGATAGTACTTTGCTACCTGACAAAGTTTGATGTTTGACATAGGTGGTTGTAAAAATTAGATGTAGTCGCAGTTGAGTTTCTCCAGTTGAGTTGAGGGTCTATTTATGTAGGAAGCCTTTTTGTATCAGCCTTAGTATGAAAGAACATTAACCTTCGTATTAACCTTTCTCCAATAAAAAGAAGGAAAATTTAACAAGAATAATCCAACCTTTGGTTGGTTCTCCCAAAATAATCCAACCTTTCAATTTTTCTTGAATAATCCAACCTTTAGGGGGTATTATATTTTAACGAACCTAAGTGACCTGTTACCTAAACAACCGGTCATTTTATTTTTCTTTTCCTTTTTATTTTTTTAAGAATATCTTTTTAATTTTATTATTATTTCCATCCCTAACCTTTCTCACTCCCTTCTTCCTCATCTCCTCCTTCCAAATTACAACTGCCACCTTGCCCCCACGCCGCTACCGCCGCCGCCACCCCTGCCCCTTCCCCTGCTCGGCCCCGCCCCTTCTCGTTACCGCAGTTTCCTCTCTCTTCCTTTTTTATGTTTCAATTCTTCACTGCCATTTAAGTTCTTAAGTGTGAGGTTTTGATGGTTAAATTAAACCATGAAAACTCTAGATCTAGAGTTTTCGTGGTTAAATTTAACCATATAAAACCATAATTGAAGTTTTGAAAGCTAAGTTTGGGGTTTAAAATTTGAGTTTCGTTTGGGGTTTATAATTTGAGGGTCGTTCGGGGTTTGTGGTGGTGGTGATTCGTGGTAAGGGTGGTGATTTGTGGTGAGTAAGGGTGGTTTTGACAGGTTTTGATGGGTGTAGGGTGGTGTTTATTGTTCGTTGTGGGCAGGGGTAGTGTGGGCGGAAGTCTTGGGGGTGGTGATGACGGTATGCTGATATTATATGGTTTGTGATGTTCTTATGTTTTGGTGGGTGAGGATGGTGGAGGAGGCGGTGGTGATGACGGGCTGGTGATGATTGCATAATGCGCGTGACTACTGTCGACCGGTGGGTATTTGTGTAGCGGCAGGTTGTGTTGAGGTGGTTGTAGACTTAGCTTGTAGAGTTATAGGTGCTATTAATGGTGGGTAAGTGGAAGGGATGTGAGGTGGTCATGAAGGAAGGTGGTGTACTGGTGGTTATAGAGAGGAGAGAGAAAGAAGCTGATAGAGGAAGAGAGAAAAAAAGGGATTTTTTTTTATTTTTAATTAATTATTAGAATTTTAAAATTAAAATTATTTTTTAAATTAAAAATAAAAAATAATGAATAAGGAAGTGACACGTTTCTTAGTAACTGGCTTGATGGGTAGGGTGACCTGCTAGGGTTGCTAGGAGAAAATGGGTTACAAAGGTTGGATTATTCTAGAATAATCAAAAGGTAAGATTATTTTGGGAGAACCGGCCAAAGGTTGGATTATTCTTGTTAAATTTTCCTAAAAAGAAAAACCTCAAATGGATTCCACTCCACCTAACCATTCTTTTCATGAAAAGAGCAAGGTCTTGCCTACTCGTTTCCTATTAACTAGACGAAGGCTTTCTTAGAAGGAAAAGGGCAAATCAATACTTGATGACAATGCTTCAACGTTAGAAGACAACGAGGAAGAAAACAACTAAGCTCCCACCGCTATGGACTTCTTTCAGCACCCTACAGAGAGAGACGTGAAGGACATAATTGGTGCGTTAGCCGTGGAGGAAAGATCAGCATGCTTGATGGTAAGTCATCTGCTAGCATCTTTTGCTCGTAGTTGATCGAAACGCATTACAGGTACTCAATTTTAACCCTTCCAAACCCTATCTATCTCCATTTGGTCGCCGAAAAGGCAAGGAAATTTAGGAAAGAAGCATATTGCTTCTTATTCTACTTACTTGATGTTTTTAAGATGGCCTTTAGTTTAAACTTGAAGAAGTTAAGGGAGACCATTATTAAGTGCATTACTAAACCGATGTTTTACCATCACTTGATTTGTTTTTTTAACGTTGTTCATGTCTTTGACTGCTTGGTACGATGAGGTTATGAACAAGTTGCACGAGCATCAATCTTCTCCATGGGGTTTTTTATTCCTTGGAAGAAATTTCTCAACCATAAAAGAAAATGTTGACATCACTTTCGAGTGGATCCACTTTTCTTCTGTGGATATGTGCCGCGAACTTAGGCAAAACGAGAATGTTTACTTTATTTTCAAGAACAGAATGATACACCACAACGGAACTGATGCTAAGGGTAGGATGGATTTGCTTTTGACGGAGCCACCAACTATTTTTGACAAAACTTAACACCGCAATGATCAATTTGACTCAAAAGGGGGGAGCTCATTCAATTTATGGTAAGTCGGTGTTCGATACGTCATTAGATGAGGATGTTTCCGAGTGATCGAGGTTCCTAATATCTCTTAATGATGAGGTTTGTAATAGGGGAAACGATATAATTTTTAGTAGTGGGAGACCATCTTATTGGAAAAATTATATTTTGTTATATATTGTTATATTTTCATCTACTCATGGTTATGTAATCTAGTTGTAGTACGTAAGCCCTTACTCATCATTATCCCTATTAATTTATGTTAAAGGGTTAAACCAATTTAGTGCGTCAATGCTTCTAATTCACACTTTGTGTGGGCTTAAAGTCTTATTATATTACCTTTATTCACTCAAATTATTTATTTACTCATTCAATTTATATGTATTTTTGAATTTCACCTATATAGAATTTTCGCTGGTTTAATTATGTGGGGGAAATAGTTTTCAACTGTTATTGAAAACTAACATAAAAAACATATATACTAACAGTATCAGGTTGGTATTCAAACATACAAATATACCAGTACCATATGCAATACCAAAATACTTGACACATATACTAACAGATGTTCATAAGGAAACCCAACATATTAAACATACATACAAACAGTTCAAGTTAGCTTTTCTTTAACACTAGAACTTAGATTATATAAATAAGTCTTACCCTTTAAAATGTACAATAACACCTGTTCACTCATGTGATACAAAAGTTACGTGTTCATCAAAAACCTGCTTATACACAGCCTAAACCTACCAAATATTAAACAGCTATTAAACAATAAGCCATTGGTCAAAATAGTTAGACATCCAGATCCTAGAATTTAAACTAAACTAAGCAGCAACAGCTTCAAGTTTGCTTACTTAGTCAGAAACCACCAACATTACCTGGTTTGTAATAATAAACCAAGTACACAATACCAACACCACAATTCAATTCAACACTGTTGTCCCACAGTAAAATAAATACACTAACTACATAGTTCAACTTCAGAATACCCAGTACCCTAACAATTTTTACACAAAAAAAAAAAAAAAACCCCATATCTACTTTAACTCCTTCACATCAGAAACCATAGCTTCAATTTTTGGCTTCAATTCATTACAATCACTGTGCAGATCGTCAAATAGCAGACCATCCCTAGCATCTTTCAAGCTGTCTTATTATTTTACAAAAGAGAAGAGTGTTACATTTAATCCTAATTTATCAAAACAACTTTTAGAAATTATGTAAACTGGATGCGTGCAAAATATTTACCACTCAAAATCGTTCCATGAAGCGATAACCACATTCTTTAATACATAACAAAATAATTATTCCGCAACTATGTTGTACATAACAGGGGAGGGCATCAACATTAATAGCAAAGACATAATATTGCAAGGAAACGGACTTTCTAGCACACCAAACTTACTTATCAGTTTGCTTCACTTCCACATTTTGGGTGGGCGACTTTGTTACGGTGGGCGATGTCCAAGACTTGTCATAAGTGTTCGGCAACACATCAACTGCAGACGCCTACAAAACGGAGGGGGAAATGATGAGCAACAATAATTTATATTGTCACTTATTTATCATTTACATTACTTTCTTATAAGTGTTACAAGCTTCAGCAGGATTGCACTGTGCTCGGTTGTACCACCGCTGTACACGAAGTTAATTATATATATTTTGTTTTCTTTCATGTAAAACGCAGCACACCACCAGTGTTCCTTTTCAAGACAGGAACAAATAACTGCATCGGTGGACATAAGCTCCTTATAAGATACCATAACATTCCATATCCAACACCAATTCACAAAAACAACACTTACCACTGTAATATTTTTGCAACTCAAACCTTTCAAAATCCCCCCATGTTTGGTTGCTGCCACCTCAGGTGTTTCCTCATCAGCAATCACACGTTCCTACCACAAATTCAACAAATATAAGATATTATATACCTCAAATTTTCTACCATTCAAATTAGCATAATGGAATGCACACACAACCCAAATAATTATTTACCCAGATCATAGCCTTAAAACCAAAACCAAAGACGGAATATTTCCCTTTAATTTTCATCTTACCGAGAAAGTTACATCAATCATGATCCTCTTGCTCTTTCCCTTATATTGTTTGGCCCACTTAGAGGTGTACAGCTTGGAAGCCATACTCACATACTTGGAGCCTACCCTATCTCGCATGAACAGCACTCCATGACAGTCCGTAGTTGTAGCATCCATACCGTCACACTCGATTAACGATATACCCCTAACGAATATGTATTACAATCAATAATAAGCTTTCACATTGGCAATTTACAAATTATAAATGTACAGGTTCTACTTACCGGGTCTTGTCTGTCTTAGGACATAAATTCCTGATCATTGTTAAAATCTTCCTCGCTACCACTCCCAAAATCCTTGCCTTTTCAGCAGGTACAACAACTTCACCATGAACTCGTTTACTTGCACTCTTTTCCATTGGTGCTTTCCCAGTTTTCTTATTCTCACCAACTTCTCCCTCTAGCCCAACATTCTCAGTTCCTCCCTTTGACACTTCTCCAGGGGCACCTCCTCCCTCTGCCTCAACATTCTCTTTGCTCAATTTCTTTGACCTCCTACTTCACCAACTGCTCCTGTCTCTGCTTCATTCATTTTACCTACCTCAATTTCTACCTAGCAAAAACATTGCTCCCTACTGCATTTTCATTTGTAACATCACCTCCAGCTTTGCTACCAACTCCACCTACTACAGACTCATTGTTCATGTCTCCTACAACACCATTTTCATTACAATGAATAGCTTCGGCTGCTATTTTACGTTAAGTATCCGCAAGAGGTCCAACAGGTTCCTCCACAGTCCACATCACCTTCACCTTTTTCTTTTTCAGGAAACATTGTTGGACTTCCAATCACTTGTTGTACTACTCTTTCAGAAGGGCCAAACGCCTTACCACGCTTCTTTGTCAGTTTCTCTAACATCATTTCAATCTTGTCTAGTCGAGGATCCAACACTCTCAACACCTACACCAACAATGCAATAAAAATCAAAATTGAATTAAATCGGTTGCTAATCCATGGAAATCCTTTATTTCCTATTACTTACCCTCCGTACTATAACATCCTCACTAGACTTCCCCATCAGATCAGGTGGAACCCTTTTGCCCCTTGCTATACGAGGATGCCTCTCTCCATAAGCAACATCAATGGACTAGAAATCATAATGTACATCAAACATCTTCACCTTAATTAACAAAAACTAAAACATTTACATTAACCATTAATTTAACCAAAACATTTTTCCTTACACACCTTCACCTTCCCATAATCACCAGAGGCCTTCCTATTTGCTTCAATAACACTCATAACTGTCGATTGTCTAAACATTGATCCGAGGAGTCTCGTTCCAATAGTGTGGAGTCAGACTCAAATGATCAATGTAAAAAGTTGCATACACAAAAATATAACAGTTATAAATAAAATTAAATAACAACTACTAATTAAAACAGTAGTGCTTTTTGCAAAATATGTAAACTGATCAATTATCATTAGAAATTATGTACATCCACCGCACCCGCCACAAAACCGTACTTATCAACTTAGCCTTAAACTTCGACACATACGCCATCAACCGATCAAAGGCAAAATCACACCAGTTATAATTCTCTGCTTCCGCGGCAACTGAAATTGTCAGAAGCAAAGAATAAATTGACAGATTCCCCCATCAGTTATGGGGCATAGTAGCTGCCCTAAACCAACAACAAGGAAGGCTAACTTAAAGTGCATAACATCTTCCTCCGTTCTTAACTTTCCTTTAGTTTTATCCAACTTTGTGACAAACGCCTTCTCAGCTTCTCCTACTGATAGATGTGTCCTTCCACGAGCATCTACCTTCCCAAACCAAGCTCCTACAGCTCTAATTCTTTCTTGCATAGTTTCATCAACCCCATCACATACCGATGACACTGTCTCACACCCGTAAGAAATGCCAAGCACTAAATTCCACTGTATTAGACATAAAGGCAGGTCCTTCCTATCTCCAAATACCATTAAACAACTATCTGGATTGACCCTTGTCAGCAACCAATAACAAAACTTTTGATCCAAGCGATTAATTTTAAGATTCGGTAGTGCACCAAAGCCCATCTCCTGCACCACAGTACGCCTAGATGGATCTAATTCTGCTATCAATTTCGAAAATGCATCCACACGGCATATCACATTTGCAGGCTGTGCTGCAAAAACATAGACACCAACAACATGTGTAAATAATAATCAAATTATATCATACACAAACCATCACAATGTAAATAAATAAGTACTAACAATGGTAATAGAGCACATTAACTTCGAATTTAACACAACAAGTTACCACTGATTCATATAACTTAACCAAAATTCTAAGCCTTTCATTGACATACAAAATATATTTTGTCTTTCCAATAAACTTATATGTTACTCACCCTCCTCACGCAATTGAATACTTGGGTCTCAGTAACCCTCTCCTTCTCCTTCACAATCACTCCCAAAAGTCGATTATCGGGCACCTACATTTAACATCAAAAATTGTAAACAACAAAATTAATTTTTGAAAATATAACTCACTCACTCAATGATTATTCTACGAAAAACGCTTACCACTTGCTGCTATTGTGGATCAGTCAGTCTCCCCAACACAGCTTTCCTCACTTTTCATAGCTTATCCATTGCCGAACGCCTACTGCTCTCACTTACACCTTTACCCTTTGCTCTTTTACTCTTCATAGTTACAAACTCATCTTCTACATGATCAACATCAACCTCTTCATCCTCTACTCGATAACTTGCTTCAGTTTCTGATGCATCATCCTTAGTGCCCTTTGGCCAGATCATCGTTTTCTGATGCATCATGCTCATCTGATCCCACAGGGTTCCCCAAACTCTTCAGCAATCAATTGTTCCATGTAATTTACCTGACCATTCAAAACTGGTTCACCATTTTGATTTCTTTTTGGTCTTCTTTCAACCACACGACTACTTTCTCCACGCACGCCGGATATTGATTTCTCTGCAACCTCAAGTTGCCCCATCACTACTTCATTCATAGTCAGTTGTTTTTACCATACCAAGGACAGAATAATCACATTACTCACCACACAATTATGTATGGAACATAACATTACATCCTAACAATAACCTTATTGCTTAAAATTGAAATAATACAACTCACCCCAAGTTTTGCCCTACTTCCAACTGTAGGGGCACTCCTTTTACGAACCATGTCAGTAACCCTGCAATTACACATGAGCCGCTTAAAATCGTACATGAAAGTCGACTCACTCAACATATTTTTCACTTACAAACAAACATAGCTTTTCCTCTATACATTACTCACGAGAATTAGCTACACTTACCTTACCAACCAAATTTTACAACATTACTAAATTATCATAATGAAGTAAATAAAATATACACAACCTTAAGAGCTATTTGAACACAAACATTCTACCTTGACGTACCAACCACTTTCATTAGCATATATACCAATTAACTTCAATACAATTTATCCCAACTTAAATCATCGTAAATCATATTTATCAACATTAACACTACTTCAGCACATTTCACAATTCCTTTTTGTTACTTACATAAAGGGACATTCCCATTTTCAAATGGAAAGAATTTACTTTACAAAGTCTCACATTTTAATTTACTTTACAATGTCTCATATTTTAAAAACAAATTCTAACAAAAATCAAAACAAACCCTAACCCACAGAAGTTACCATGGATTTTCAAATCTTAGGGTATCAAACCTTTTTAATTATCATGAACCAACAAATTCTAGGGTTTAGAACAAAATTAACCACCACCGACCACCATAATTCAACAATTATCAAATTCTAGGGTACCAAACCCTTTTAATCATCATGCAATAACAAATTCTAGGGTTTTGAACAAAATAAACCACCACCGACCACCATAATTCAACAATTTTCAAATTCTAGGGTATCAACCCTTTTCAATCATCATGAAGCAACTGGATTTTCAACTAAATTAACCACCACCTACCACCATAATTCAACAAGTACCAAACCAACCAAGTCTTCTAAAAAAATCACAACAACTCCGACAATTCACCAACAACGAAATAATTTAATCAACCATCAATAACAATTAAATTACGCTTCGAATTCAAACAAAATCAGCCAAAAATCATACCTGGTTCTGCTACTAATAAACACACGACTATCTTTGCAAGACCACCCACCAATTTCGCTAAAACACCGTTCACAACACCAAATTCTGCTCACTACGACGACGAAGTACCAACCACTCACTATAAGGAACCGAGTAAACCCTTGCTTAGAGAGAGAGAGTGTGGGATGAAAATGAAATTTGAAAAGCCTCCTTGAAATTTGAAAAGGCTTCACGTGCCCCCCTAGAACATAAAGCTTCTGAAACAAGCCTTATACATAAAATTACTCTACTGCCCTTACCAAATGGATGATGCATGTTATGTCCTAACATAGTGGCTATTGACAACTTTAACCTTACCAGAGGCTTCCACACATCTAGTAGCTCGAGGCAGAGAAGTCCTCTAGGAAATAGAGGGATGGTTAGTCCCTCCATCTCCCCCCAAGTGGTTGGGGGTTCGATCCTTATCCCCCACCCCCCCCCCCCCTCTCAAGTGGTTGGGGGTTCGATTCTCATCCCCCCAATCCTGTGATAGGGTGGGAGACCCCCGTATTTTACTGTATATAAAAAAAAAAAGAAAAAAAAAAACAAAAAATAGAGGGAGGGCATAAGTGGTATAGACGACCATTGGACTTGCTCTTCTAAAAAATCAATCGGACACACATAGTGGACTCGTCCATCACGTACCGCAGATCTTGCCACACAATCTGGTATCCATGTGTCCAGGTGTCTTCTCCAAGACTCCAAGTCCCTCCATATTAATCTACGAAGTGTATAGTCTCCCACATTTTTAATTCATCCTTACATCAACCCACAAGTCCAGAACACTCTCAACTCTTCTCAAGCTCCACCTTCTTCCAACAAAAATGGCGGAATCCAAATCAAAATCTGAGAAAAAAGTCCTCATGATTTGCGGTGATTACATGGAAGATTATGAGGTTAATATTCATCTTTCATAGTATATTCAATTAATTCAAATAAAAATGGTATGTTTATTGACTTTATTCTTGTTTAGGTGATGGTTCCATTTCAAGCACTTTTAGCTTATGGTGTAGCAGTTGATGCTGTTTGTCCTGATAAAAAAGCTGGGGATGTTTGCCGCACTGCTATTCATCAACTTTCTACTCATCAGGTTTGTGGGTTTTGTTAATTTAATTGATATTTTTATGGGGTTTATATTATTCATCTTAATTATATTCATCTAGTTTTTCTGTATTTAATATTGCTTGATGATTATTGATTATTGATTTTAAGGAATTTAATCACATAATGAGTATTTGTTGAGAGATATCTTGATTTTTTTTTCATAATTTCTCTGGAATTTACTGACATAAAAGTCTCTTGCTAATGTTTAGTAGTATTGTTATAACTATTGTAATGCGAAAAGATTAAGCGAATTCAACAAACAAGAACACACAAATTTAGGTTGGTTTACTGCACAATGTGTTAGCTATGTCCACCAGGCATAGGAGAGGAGTTTTATTGATTTTGAAGAAGAAAAAAAAAAAAAAAACTGATAACAAAATTAGGCTAGTTTAAGGAATAGTGAAAGACTGATTCAAGGTGTATTACATATCCCCGACAATTACAATTTCTTTTGATTAGTTGTTACTTTCAAAGAAATGCTAATTCTATATTTAAATTCAATTATAAAATAGTTCATGGGTAGCTTCATGTGTATGGTTACCTGGGAATTGAATGCATGACATACAAGTTCCAGCCGTTCAGTGAATAGAAAGTTACAGATAATTAGCCCCTCAAATACTTAATTAAGCTGCCCTTAGAAGCAGTTAAAGTAAACCTAGAACTGACCACAAGACATGTCATTGTAAGCACAAGAGATCTTATAATAGCATATTCTTACAAGTTACAGTTGCTTGCCTCCTATGAGAAGATATCTAATTATCTATTAATGCTGTCAAGCCATAACACCTCACAACGATTATTAAAGTGCGATTCTATTACTTTTTCTAATTGCCATGCTTTGAATTAACAAATGCTTGAGATGCACATGGGGGCATTGACCTCGTACCCACATTACAAAATTTCATCTTGAGTTTTCCTATTTCTATTTGGCGATATGATGTCCTTATTTCAAAGGGGTGATAAATTTATTTGAAGAGAGGAGAAATATTAATGGTATAAGCGAATAAGCAATAGCTGCTAATTTTTTAATAGGACTTTATACGTCCTTTTCCAATTAACGAAGAAAATGGATTGCTAGTTGAGAGTTGAGACATGGTGATATGTATTGGCTAACACTTTGACTTAATGAAGCATCAAGTTCCAAGATTATTGCCGGAAAAAGTGAAGTACTTACCAGTATTTCACTGTACCTGCTTAGGGAAGCTTAAAATTTTAGATATTTTAAGACCGTTTTCAAATTTTTTTAACAAATTATGATATATTTCCTGGTGAAAGAACTTTGGTGAGAGTTTGATGTAGTTAGTTTATGTGTCTGGTTTGGATTTTTTTTTTACCTTAGTCTGTTGTATATGTCTACTCTCTCCTATCTTCCCTTTTAATTTTCCATGTTCAATCTTCTTAATATGGTGTCAGCACCATTGCATCAAAATGATTAGCCTCACCCTTCATGGGGACAAGGCCACGCCCATCCAACCCTACCCGTCTTGCCTAGGCAGGAGCCTCTTACTCTCTAAGAGGCATTATGGTAATGTTTATGTCGATGTATATTTATTTTTGTATCCAGGGCTTTCATTTAATGAATTTTAAGTTAAGTCACCAATGCAAAGTTCAACTTGGTTTGTCTTTTCGTGACTTTTTATCTTGCTTGCAGACTTACTCTGAAACTCGTGGACACAACTTCACCCTGAATGCAACCTTTGATGAGATTGATGCGAGCGTATATGATGGTTTGCTCCTTCCAGGGGGAAGGGCCCCTGAATATCTTGCAATGAATGGGTCTGTTCTGGATGTGGTACGCAAGTTTCATTCATCTGGGAAGCCAATTGCTTCTATATGCCATGGGCAGTTGATCCTGGCTGCTGCTGATTGTGTTAAAGGCCGTAAATGTACAGCATTTCCTGCAGTGAAGCCTGTACTCATTGCAGCTGGGGCTCATTGGGTAGAACCTACGGACATGGGAGCTTGTGTAGTTGACCAAAATCTAGTAACAGGCGCTACCTATATTGGACATCCTGAGTTCATTCAACTGTTTGTAAAAGCAATAGGAGGCATCATAAGTGGGTCAGATAAAAGGATCCTGTTCCTTTGTGGGGTAAGTATTGCTTTACATTTGATTAATGAGATAGCTGTTGATTTGAATATCTGCAATGACTTAGCAAAGTGAAAGTCTATACAGGACAAATTTACTGATGTATTAGCGGTTTATGAAGCTTTTTTTAATTCTTTACTATTATTAGGCAGAGGAGAAGGGATGTAGGGATGAGAGGGAAGAGAAGCATAGAAAGGGAACAGAGGGAAGCAAGACAAATACATTAGGCAGCGTAGAGATGTACAATCTGAAAATATTTATTCTTGAGATCCTTATTGTAAATGCAAAGGGAAACTATTTTGACACATATATCCACATGATATGGTTGTAGGTTCTTTATATACGGGTAACTGTTTATCATCCTCATATTATTTCTTTTCTGTTGGAGTAGGATTTCATGGAAGATTATGAGGTTATGGTCCCTTTCCAGTCCCTTCAAGCTCTGGGGTGCCATGTCGATGCTGTGTGTCCAAAGAAGCAGCAAGGGGATACTTGCCCAACTGCTGTACATGATTTTGAAGGTGATCAAACATACAGTGAAAAGCCTGGTCATGATTTTACATTGACTGCCACTTTTACAGGTATAGATGCTTCAAGTTATGATGGTCTTGTGATTCCCGGAGGCCGAGCACCAGAGTACCTTGCTTTAGATGAGAATGTTATCACCATGGTGAAGAGTTTCATGGAGGCTGGAAAACCAGTTGCATCCATTTGCCATGGCCAACAGATTTTATCTGCAGCTGGTGTTCTCAAGGTAATTTTTTTTTTCTCCTTTAAAAACACTATCCTTTCCTCTGTTAGTTCATATCACCTTGAAAATTAGGAGTGTTTTATCTTTATTTTTTTAATGTCTGTTACAGATACGTGCACTTACCATTCGAAAGATCTGGTTTTGAGGAGCTTTTACATATCTAGATTTGTTCAGACTTGACTACAGATTTTCAGATTTTCAATGGCTTACGGTTGTTCCCATTGTAATCTGTTTAATTTGTAATACTACCAATTTCAATGCCTTTCCTTTTTTAATGCTGAAAGTTTTTACTACCTTAGCCCCAACACAATAGGGTGTAGGCTACATTCCTAATCTAGTTTGTCCCAAAAAATGTTGCCAATTCTTTGATTTAACAAGTTCAATGTCGTAAAAAGGTTTAGTGGTGAAGGATAGTTTGGTATTTTAGCTATTATTATTTTCCTATAAAATTTTTTTGATCAAAAGTGGCCTATTGTTAGGGATGGCGTATAAACTTTGGAGTTTGATATTTGTACTAATTAGTGTAAGTTAAAGAGCTTGTAAACTGAAGATTTAAAAGAAGCTCATGCAAATTAAGCAGCCATTTTCTGCTGATATCCCACTTCACATGTTGTGATTCTGTGAATATATATGTTACCTTGCAGAGCACTATTATAGATGGATGAACAGACAAAATAGAAATAAGTAAGACTAGCTTTTTTGTTTTTGGCGGAAAAGCCGGCTTTTCAGCTAGCTAATAAGCTGTTAACTAAACTCGTTTTTTGGCTGTTTGACCAAAATAAAAAGCCAAAAGCCAGCCAAAAGCTATTTACCAAACATGGCCATAGACTATAGAGCATACGATATTACAATCCCAGCTTAAGTGCCTGGACACTTCCACTAAGAAAAAGCTAACATTATAGAATTCTAATCAATATTCATCAGAATCATCACTTTTTTTTTCCACAAATTCTTCTATTTATGGAGTACATAACTCCCCTCCTAGTTCCTCTCGCTTCTTGTTGCTCAAGCTAACTCTAACTGAAATAATGACAATTCTTAATGTGCCCAATGCTTTGTAGTTGTCCTGCATTTTTGTCTAATTCATCTGGCCTGCTAATAATTAGATCATGTGATGCAGCTGACCAGGTGTTTCAACTTGTCATCTTGTATTACGAGTTACTGTAATGTGACTTGGTTTTGCTAAGACTTTCTTGCTGTCTTGGTGCAGAATCTGATTCCTTTGTGATTTTATTTGCAGGGGAAAAAATGTACTGCATACCCGGCTGTGAAGCTCAATGTGGTTTTAGGAGGGGCAACTTGGTTGGAGCCTGAACCAATAAATCGTTGCTTCACAGATGGAAACTTGGTGACAGGAGCTGCTTGGCCAGGGCACCCTGAATTTGTTTCACAGTTCATGGCTCTTCTTGGTATTCGTGTATCATTTTGAATGATTTTAAGATCCAAATTTATGGTTGCACAATGTCTGAAATATCTGTGAGTTGTGTGAATTTAGTAATGTTATGGTGAATAATTGTCTTAGAGTAGAGAGGTAGTTTTG